CGGCGCCGGCGAAAGCCTCCGCCAGTAACTTGCCGCCTCCATTGCCTGATTCCAGCGTGGTTCCCTTCACAACGATGCAAGCTGCAGTGTCCAAGAACATGGTGGAGAGTCTCTCCGTTCCCACATTCCGCGTGGGTTATCCCGTGGCCACCGATGCACTCGATGCTCTATACGAGAAGGTAAGTTTATGGAAATGTACATTGATTGATATTGTGTTCAAATTGAGCTTCGATGTTAACGTTGCATTTTGATTGCTGCTTCTGGGTTTTTTTTACAGGTGAAGCCAAAGGGTGTGACAATGACTGCGCTTTTGGCCAAGGCTGCGGCCATGGCTCTTGCTCAGCATCCTGTGGTGAATGCGACCTGCAAAGATGGGAAGAGCTTTACTTACAATAGTAACATAAACATTGCAGTGGCTGTGGCTATCAATGGTGGGTTGATCACGCCTGTTCTTCAGGATGCTGATAAGGTAATCAATGCAATGAAGACATGGATTGTAATTGTTATACGATAGTGTTAGCTTTTGTCCACTCGGTTTAACTGAAAGCGGTCATCTTTTCTTGTTCTAGTTGGATTTATACTTGTTATCCCAAAAATGGAAGGAGCTTGTGGGCAAAGCTAGGTCTAAGCAACTGCAACCACATGAATACAACTCCGGTACTTCTCTGTTATTGTTCAAATGCTTTCTACACCTCGTTTTTGCATACAATGGTGTCCGAATGATGTGAAATGACAGTGCTGAACTTCACAGATTGAGGCCTTGTTTGTATTCAAATGCAGGGACTTTCACTTTATCCAATCTTGGCATGTTTGGAGTGGATAGGTTCGATGCTATTCTTCCCCCGGGCCAGGTATGTCGAATTTGAGTAGTCTGTTTAGTTTCATTCAACTATTAGGAACACCAAAACAATTTTCTTACACCATATCCAATTTTAGGGTGCCATCATGGCTGTTGGGGCCTCAAAGCCGACTGTAATTGCTGACTCTGATGGGTTCTTCAGCGTGAAAAACAAAATGCTGGTAAGTTCGAAACTGTTTTTTTTTTAACTTATAAGAACAAGTTTAGGTCGCGGGTTCGAATCCACCTCTGTACATAAAAATGTAGGGGTAAGGTAGCCTAGTATATTCCCTTCCCCAACACCCCCACTAGATGGGGATACGAGCTGGGTTGGTCCTTTATAAGAACAAGTTTAGGATGCCGGTTGTTCAGTCTGGAAAATAGACAGAGCTTAAAAATGTTTTCAAAGGATTAGGCTAAGCCCAAGAAAGTCATAGGCTGGAGAACCCATTTGATGAAAAACTAGTCTCAATTGGCGTTTGCAACTGATGTTGGATCATCCCCTAAATGGCTCAAATCCGACGTCTATGTGGCCCTCTTCAATAGTATATTGGCTGTAAAGAATAGCATCGATTTTAGGTCTTAATCCATTGAGAGAGTTAGACCTAAAGGGCCAGTCTCATCTGTTTTCGAGTAGTATTTTCCATATCCTTAACATTTACTTGTAGGCTGTTTCGTGTTGGGCTAAGGAAAACCCCTCTTTAAAACACACCTAAAATAACACTGATTGGGTGGGTGTTAACTATTAAGTTTCAAATGCCAATGTATGAGCTTTGAAATCTAACATAACTAGTCATATGATGAACTGGATACACTGTGAAGTGTATATAACCAAACCATCTGGGCACTATATTTTTTTCAGGTGAATGTAACCGCGGATCACCGGATTATATACGGCGCTGACTTGGCTGCATTCCTTCAGACCTTCGCGAAGATTGTGGAAAACCCCGATAGCCTGACACTGTAAGGCAGGCAAAAAAATCCCTCCCTATTCTTTTGGCCATATGCCGATTTTTCTCAGGTAATAAAACCTTTGCCAGATCTCCGGTTTCGTACCGATAAAGTTTCATGCTTTTGTTAACACCACAAAGTTCTTTAGGGTTTTTTTGGCCATTTTCAGGGGGGTTGCATAAGGAGAGTTTGATTTCTTTCTTCTAAACAAGTTCATCTGCTTCGTTTCATTCCATGTAATGGAGCTTAGGGTTTTTCTGTGATCATGAATCACTTGGCTTAGGGTTTCATATATAGTTGTCACTCCCGATTTTCGACGTTCTTTTGGGAATCCGATATAACAAACCGAAGCAAACCGTTGTGTTTCCGTTCTAAACCAAATCATTTTCGACTTATCGGTGCATCAGAATCAGCTTTGCAAATCATATAGGATCCATTCATATGGTTTCTATGGTGTGGCATAGTAAACGTGGTTTCAGAGTGTGCTTTCCATCAGCAAAGAACAGGGGTCTCATCGTTTATGGGCCATATGGCCCAATAAGAGGCCCATATGATATTACATTTCGGCCCAATTCGAATTGAATATTACTAAAAACCCCTTCATATAGTATTTCAGGTTATAGAAAATTATTCTTTTTAAAAAACATATAGATCGAACGTTACAAGCTCTTCGTTTGCTTTTTATTTGTGACTTGTATTGTTTTGCACATGTGAATACTAAAATTTCAAGACATCGAAATTAATCTATTTTGTATTAATTTGGTATTCCCCATATATATATATATATATATATATATATATATATATATATATTTTTACTATCACAAGATTCACCGACCGTATTGAGTTGCTTTGGCAAAATAACGTGCATCAATCACAGCATGTTATGACGATGAACACTTCTTTTGCCTCTCCAGACCAGTTTTTTGTGCAAATATTAATATGAAATAACAAACCGATTTTTTAAATTAAAAAAAAATTAAACTAACCATCTTTCCTAATCCTAAAATACTTTTACATATAGAGATATACATAGTAAGTACATACATACCCATTTCCCATCTATCATTAAAATGATAGGGCAAATACACCAATTTGGGGCCAAAAAAACGCTTTACAAAATACGGCGTCGTTTCCTCATCCTACTTTTTTACGCTTTCGATTTCTCTTCCTTTTTTTTTTACTCCGCCGGCAAAGTTTCCGGCCGCCAAGGCAACACCTCGCCGGAATCAAAACAGCCGTCTGGATATTCGAACAACCCATCTACCCCCAAGAATCCGTCGCCGGCACCGAGTTCGAACGAGCCGTAACTCGTCATCTGGTCCTCAAATTCCCAGAACTCGCCGTTCCCAGACGAATCGGATGAGACTCGTACTAACTCGGAATCCGTCTCCTCGTCCTTCGGCGCCGAAGACGACGCCGGCGCCGGAGGAGGAGGCAAGCCAAGCTCGTCGTCGGAAGCCTCTAGAAGGTATCCGAGATCTGTCTGTGGCCCGCCGGAGTGATGCGTCGTCGTTGCGGACAACTCGTCCTCGAAGCTCTTCATGACCGAATCGAGATCCTGACTCGCCGGGTCAGGGTCCGGGTCGTCGAGGACACCGAGTAAGTCGTCCCTCAACCGCTTCACCTCCGGCGAGTCAAGGTCCGCCTCGTTCGACTCGTCTCTAACTCGCTTCCTAACGGTCAACTCGGCCGAGTCACCCGGGACTCGCCTCTCTTCGTCAGCCAGCAAACCGTCCATAGCTTTAGAGCTACGCTCTGTTTGTTCTTTTCTTTTCTTTTTACGATACCTTTTTCTTCCAGTGGCAATATCGAAATTAATGTGAGATATCGGTGCAGAATGGGAAGAAGGGAACACGATCTTTTATAGTAGAGTCTATAGGGAAAGAGATAGAGAGAGCGCGTGAGATTCGACGCAGACATGGGCGCGTGGGAATTCGAATCCTTGGGGCATCACGGACCTCTCGCCTTTTCTTCCTTATTTTTTCCGGGTTTATAATTTTTAAATTAATTTCAAAATCATGATGTCTTTTTCCAGTTTTCTGACATTATTAATCAGTTTGAATTCCAAGTTGAAGTCCGGTCAGTCGATGTAGCTCCACATGCCCGGTCATTTACGCCCTCTCCGGAATATTTCAATTATTTTATATGTTTCTATTAAAATCTGCACCTCTAACAAATTATAACTATTATTATATAATAATTTTTCTCTATATAATAGATTTAATGCAAATCCTATCATAAAAATCAAATACGTGAATTTATGCAAATCCTATCTAACAAATTATAACTATTAATAATGTTCCGACCCACTCGACAAATGAAAATAATAGAAAAAAGGTTAATATTTTTTTAAAAAAAATTCTTATCCCAAATCGCCAAAAGATCAAAACTACTAATCTCATAAGGAAACATTCATTGGTCAAACCCGATTTTTTTAGGAAGGTTTCCTTCTCAGACACTTTAATGAATTTAACGTGAAAGCACTATGAATATAAGCACATCTTTCATATATATAGATATATGCGTATATATAATTATTTTATTTTTAAAAACCTCCATCCAACTTGAAAAAATAAAACACTAAATAACTATCTTACGTGATGGTACCGTTGTTTGGATAATTGTTTTATATAAATATATCTACCCAAGTATACAAAAAAAAATATAAATCCTCGCATGCTATATTGCTCTGCAATTATAGTATTTTATGTTTCTTGTACTGGAATTCAAAATCGTATTAATAGTGATAATCATATGTAAACAAAATACAATCGATCGATATAATTAATTTCGTGGAATTTTATAAAGAAAGAGTAGGTGGGCAGTTCCAAAGACAAGGTTTACGTTTGATGAGGTTTTGCGGGTTGATGTGTGTTTGGAGGGTTATGGTTGGGAGCTTCAAAGATTAGGTTTTACATCCATTTATATACATGACCATCTCTCTCTCTCACCAAAAATATTTTTTTTTATAATCCCAAAGTTTTGTTTGGTTAAAGTTTGTGCCCAAGACCAATATACAAAAATATATTCGTAAACAGCTACGCAACTATGAAATCTTGAATAATATATATATAGTCGGAACCTTGGCGATATTTTCATATGTTGATGTAATAATATTATGATAAAATAATTCCCTAAATAATTAAAATAAGGAATAAAAACAATTTAGAGCACCCATTTATCATTTTAATTCACAAAGTGATTACGTACATGGAAATCTACACTTTATGTTGTGAACGAGGGTTCATACAAATATATCTACCGTATCCGGATCCGTATAATATATAGTGTGTGGATGACATAATGAGTGGCCTGTTGTATTTATAATCAGGAAAAAAAAGACAAACGATCCGAATTTGATTATTTCGTTTATTTATATATTTATTATAAAGAAAATCGCAGTGGAGGTGGAGCACACTTTCGGCAGTGCCGATTCGCCAGATGGACTTTGAAAACATGATTTTGAGCTCAGTCCATTACCATTTATTTCAAATTTCAATACACATCTATATATATATATATATATATACACACACACACACACATTTGTCATGGAGTATATCTCTCAAATAATTTAATATGCTAATAGAAAACGCAATAAATAAAAATAATGACAAGGTAAAATGGAGAATGGGTCAAAGCTCATAACATGTACATGCACGGCAACAACACATCACGTGAGCCAATAAAGCGTAACAAAGTACGCAACTCCCACGATCAGCAGCACACAGGTCCCACTCTTACAGATTTGTATTTTTATTTATATTGTATACTTTAATCGAATAATAAATTTTCAATTTACATAAAAATCGTGAAATATAGTCTTATATTTATATTATTGAATAATTAGTATCTACCCCCTTTTCTGACATCGTATTTATCATTAAAATATTTATGCATATAAGATGTATGATATATGACGATATACATCGAAATATCTACGGAAGTATCAACAATTATTTCGATTTCGATGTATAAAAATATTTTTTTTAAATCAAATTGTATCTAAATAGAATAAATAAATTACTTAGATATCAAATTTTAAAACTAAATTTATTTCGAATATAAATAAATAAAATTAAAAAAAATGACAGAAAACCGTCCATCATAGATCTGATTTCCCGACCACAAACCCCTTTGCATATATATATATATATATATATATTCTTTACTGTTGATGGACAAAACAACTAATGCGTTTTGTCACGATGATTGAATCCATTAAAAAAATATATATGGTAAACCGACTTAAATCGACCTAGTCATATAATTTAATAGTGTAAAACTAATTGTAAACATCCGGTGTACATATTTTGTATCGCTTCTGAGAGAATTTCATAAATTGATAATTATTCTATCCTATTTATGCATTTATTTCCACATACATCCTCGCACGGTAATATATAAAAAATATCCTCCATTTAGAAAATAAAATAAATTAAAGCCCATAGACATAGAAACCCTATTGACGAATTTTATGTCATTTTTTAAATATTTATATGGAAATGGATTTGCCAAAAAAACCAAGGCATATAAATCTACAGGAATTTTATGTGAAACCCGATAAGGAATTTATTTAAGATATTGTTTTACTTGTTTAATTAAATAAATTTTTTGGACTACGATCGCTAAAAAGTTTCTTTATTAATTATTTGTCGACGTGTAATAGAAAGAAAATACAGTAAAAGGAAGGCATGTGGTGTATATATGTGTAGATATATGTACATGTGTATTCGTTATGCGTATAGGTGTGTATATGCGTATACAAACATGTGTGGGTTTAGAAATATGGGGACGAATTAAATAAAGTGGGAGCATCTGTCGTGGAGCCATTGGGCTAAAGAGACGTAAAGTTCTTTGTAGGATTTTCGTTTTTAATTTATTAAAATAATATATGGGCAGAAAATATAATAATATAAGTGTTATATATATGCCGAAATCAATATTGCAATTTGTAAAAACATGAATAACAAAATTAAATTAAAAAATAATAATTTTGTAGAAATTAAAAAAATTTATTAGGAGGACGGTTCAGAGTGCGCGTCACTTTCACGTCTTCTCGTCTCATGCGAGCGCCAATCTAATTTCTAAATAGTATTTTCTTTTTCCTTTTTTTCCTGTTGAAAAGATCATCTCTTTGAGCAATTATCACCTGCTTCGCCCCTACCGTACACTCCTCTTATATCGGTCACAACCTGAGAACTAACTTCATGGATTTTTTTTTACATATGTAAATTTAAATTCTTAATTTCGTGGTTTGTAAATTAAAATTTAACACATTTTAGATCAGACTATTAATCGAGAAAATATTTGACTTGGTAACCAATAAAACCAAGTCATTTTCAAATATTCTACTAAATAACGATAATAATAATAATAATAATAATAATAATACCTGTTTTAGAAGCCAGAGATTCAGAAAAATGAAATAAAAAATTGAAACAATTAAAATTGTCCGACAGAGTGACGCAGCGATCGGGATGGATTGTATACAGAGATATGTGAAAAGAGACGACACGTGTCAAAACATGATGAAACGGTTGTCTATCAGATCTCAGCTGTTTTCCTTCCAAACTCTCTAATAAAATAAATATGTTTAAGTAAAAATGGTATTAGAGGAGAGAGAAGAAGGATCAAATTTAAAAAGAAAACAAAAAAGAAATAGTTGGAATCAGATGCATTTCTTTTTCTTATAATATTTCAAGAGTCACCATCTTAATGAAAAACTTGGGTTTTTAGATAAATAGACAACAAATCCTATACCGATGTTAGGCATAGGATTTAATATCGTGCTTCCTGAAGAATCATAATACCTATCTTACATTCAAATTAAAATCAATCAAATAATATATAATTATACTTAACTTTTTATATTAGAAAATTAATTTACATAAATTTCTAAAATTAAATTAAACGGATAAAATATAAAGTAGACAAATAGAAAAACTTTAATAAAAAACAAATTAAACTCAGACCAAATATAACTAAAAATAAAATAAAATATAAACTTAGAGAAATTGAAAACAAGATCCAGAATATTTAATCTTAACAAAAGTTATATATATATATATATATATATAAGAAAAGCGACATTTTGATGCAAAGTACAAAAAATGTGTTTCATCAAGACCTTTCTTTTGTCCACTCATCGAGACTTTTATTTGTTTAGCCGAATCTAGTTGTAATTTTAAAGGTAAAAGTAAACTTTCGTGGGCCGAGAAAAAAATAATAATATATATATATATATATATATATATATATGGTTCCGACACTAACTAGCTCATGGTTAGGTTACGTTAGTTTTAGGTCTTGTTGTTGTGGGTGCAACAAATATCACATATCATTCCTTTTATATTCTTTCTTAAATATTACAATTTTTGTATAACATATAAATGCTAATATCGTTCTTATTTTTTCGCCTTTTGTAGTCGGTCCAAAACTTCATTAGAAAACTAATTTTGGAAGCGAGATGCATCGCATTAATTTTTTTTAAGTAAACCAAATTGTCTAACGTATATCACATGGTTTAGTTTTGTCGTTTCCGTGTATTATGCTATCGGAAAATGTTTACAATATTCACGCAGTTAATTAGATCTTCGATATGCGGATTTTATAAATCTAATTTTAATAATTAAGATAAGATCTTAAAATTTAGTTATTTCGGTATAGGCGATATCAAAGGAAATAAGACACGACAAATACGAAGAAAGTCGCATAACATGTTTAAAAAATATTGCATTTCAAGAATATAAACGAAAAGATAACGTCGAAATGTAAACAACAAATACAAAATCTAACAAAAAAAATTCGGATAAGATTTTATTTGGGAGGATATGCCACTTGTTGTGAGACCATTCTAT